AAGAAGACAGACACAACTGACTCAACACTGACTCTAATACCACTTAATGTAACACCCCCTTTCTATACCCCCAATTAATCAATTAAAATCATATAAGCAATTAATAAAAGTTTCATCAGAGTATAAATTAAAACATGGTATAAAAGAGGCGCATCACATTATCATCAAAACGAAACATAAATAATACCTGCTCATAAAGATATGTAACAAAAGGGGTAAATCTCATCTAAAAACAAAGCATAGCGCTTAAAACCCACATATCAATACTTAGAATAAAGCAGAAACATCTAAACATTGAAATCATTTCATTAACATAAGCATCATATAAATCACTCAGATTAATTCAATTCATCAGTTGAGTTTACAAAACATTCAGCAGCAGATACATACACAGATGTATCACAAAAGAATCAAAACAATTCCTAACTACCCAGTGTTACATATCAGAGCCATCTGACCAAAAGAAATGAAGACTCGCTTCACAAAAGACCTCCAGCATCCTACTCTGCAATGCCTCATAGAGCATTATAAAACAGCATAAGGGTGAGAAACATTATCATAACAAAAAATGCATAAAATTATATATATCATAAAACACAATTATAACATACACGCGATTCATATTTCTCACCACAACTTGTTACAATACATCACAATGTACACGTACATAACCAATCACATTCACCAATTCACGCTTCACAATTCATAGCATTTACAATTATGTTCATTTTACCAAAACATCATATAAAGATGATAATGCAACTCATAGAGACCGACTCACAACTCTATGCAGATGCAAATGCGGTAGCGACTCGTTCAGCAGGTTCAATTGAAGAACCAAAATGGAACCATCGCTCGTTACCGAAGTAACTCCCCGTCGGGCCTACGATGTTCACCCATCGCTCACACCCCACATGGGCACACGATGTTTCAGGATTGCTCACACCCCACACGGGCACACAATCCGGTTGCTCACACCTCACAAGGGCACACAACTGTTCTGCAGATTCTCCATGGAATCAAAAATAAACCATCGCTCACACCCCACAAGGGCACACGATCGTTTCTGCAGATCTTCCTAGGGATCAAAGTAACTAAACCATCGCTCACACCCCACAAGGGCACACGAGGTTTCTACAGATCCTACGCGGGATCAGACACACAAGAATGCAATCACGATGCTACACATGCAACACGACTCAATACACTCTTAGAATCCACACATGTTTACAAACATATTCATGCATTCTTCATATTATACAAGTATATACAAATATACACATTCACATTAATATCACCATGCATTCCCATTTAATCCAAACAAACGCACGGAATTGCCAAACGACCACATCACACAATTTAGGATTCACACCATACGGCTACCCACAAGACAATATAACTCGGCATGATCAATGCCTCGAGCAAGGAAATAATCAAAGTTAAGTCGGAAATCCGACCACGGATGGAAACATTAAAGAAAACACACCCTGTCACGTTCGCTGCCCTGCTCGCTTAGCGAACTCCTAGCGATTATTCGCTACTTGTTCGCCTAGAAAACAAGCTCGCGAAGGTAAACAGAAGCCTCTGACTTCGTTCGCCACCACGTTTGCTACCTCGCTCGCTCAACGAACCCCTAGAGAACCTTCGCTACCCTCATTCGCTACCAGCGAACACCATAACATGCATTCTGCCCAAGTCTGGGACCGCTCGCTACCTATTCGCTATTGCTCGCTTAGCGAACGTTCGTGACCAACTCGCCTAGCGAACGTGCTAGCGAGTGTCTGCGAACTCAGAATTTCCCCACTGTTCTTCCACTCCAAAACTCTTGGATTTACCCGATTAAGTCCTAACTCATTCCAGCACTTTAGCCTAACATCACCCGACATAAATGCTATTACTTAATCTCACTTTCACCAACGAAAACTCAGGTTCTATCGATTAAATCCGTATTATGCCCTAGAATGAAAAATGAGTAAAACTCTCCCCAATCCAAAACAAAACCAACAAGAACACACATAATCATACACATTGCAAGAATAATAAAGTTTCACACTCTTACCCGATCAATCGAAAGCTTAGAAGTTGATTCTTGATGATTCTAGGTTTTTCTCCTCTTCCTCCTCTTTTCTCTTCTATTCCTTTCTTTCTCTTCTCTTTTTCTTTCCTTTTGGTTTCTATTCTCCCTATTCTTTCTCTTTTCCAATTATACTCTTTCTACTCTATTTCTCTCAAAATATCTACTAATCAAGGATTATCTAAAACACCCTCTAATTAATTCCCAAAACTCTCCAAATAATAAAATACCACAACATACACACATAACATATTATCATATAATTCCACAATAAAATAACAACTAACCAAATAAATTAAAAGACTCAACAACATAATGAGAAATTCAGAATTGGGGCGTTACACATCCCCGCCTCCTTAAACGCAAATTCGTACATAGGGAATCGGCCCCCATCGTAGCGAGAGCAGATACGGTCCAGTTCTCGAGGCCGGCATGCTCTAAATTGACGAGGAGCCCTGACCTATCTATCTTCGATCACGTCAAAAACATCATAATCGTCGAGCACGAACCGGGACATATAGTTGAGGGGTTCGTCCCCGACCCATTCCCCGACCGGCCTGTCCGGAGGCTCCACAACAGTCTCATCTTGGCGACCCTATTCATCGTCGGACAGGTACCACATTGTTTCCTCCTCCTCATAGGAAGCCATTTACCTGAAAAGTAGAGGAACTTGGTGAATTAGACAGCCAAATCAAATCATCCCTTCCACCACAGTTCAAGTGAAAGGGTGTGGATGCCCGGGGTGCCCAGAAGACCCTCTGGGGTAACCCGACCCTCTGATGTGCTCGTGGAATGAAATCTTTTGTCCTCTGCGTGCTCATCAATCGTGCCCGGGGTATTCATCAACCACCTTTGGGACATTCAACAGTCATTGATTCTCCCCGGGTCGCTCATCGCAAGGGTCGGGAATGGTCAGTCAGAACCCTAGTTTTGAAGGACTCTCCGACGTATTCGCCGGAAAAGCCCACGGTCTCCCCCGCGTTCCTGTTGGAGCCGCCGGGAGCATCGCCGAAAGCTTACTAAAAAATACCAGTAGGGAGGCAAAGACTTACGTGATATGACGGAGAAAAATTAGTTGCGTTGAGCAGAAAGATTGTAGACGTCGAGCAGGGAATTCAGAAGGTTGAACAACAACAAGAAAAACAAGAGAGCGAAAGACGGGTTGGGCCCACGTATATATACGCCCTAACACGAGAAACGAAGCGTCGCTAGGGGCGCTGTAGCCTCCTTAGGGTGACACGTGGTGATCCTCAGCCTTCCCTACGTCTCTCCAGATTCCCCTCCTCGTCCGTGGGCTTCCCCGTACATCATAGGTTCGCCAGACCAGTACGGGCGTGGGGTTGCCCGACAAAGGGACATGCTCGACACTTATGCACCTTAAGTCACAGCTCGTTTGATCGCAAGCAACGACTTGGGGGCTACTGTTCTGGACTAGGCTGACGCTTGGCCCATAGTCAAGCAGGCCCAAACCCCATCAGGTTGGAAGGCCCAATAAGACCTAAGCCCCTTCGTCGTCGGGCAGAGACATTTCCCCTGTCAGGCAGAACATCTTCTCCCGTCGGGTACAGACCAACGGCAGTCGAGCAGGATCCTCACATCTATTTGGCGCGTCCCTCTTCTGCCCAACCGTCGGGCAGACCCTATCTAGTTCGGAGGGCTTCTCTGACCTCCTCCACGTTCTCAACGTGTCCCCTACGCGGAGACACGTAATCAGGTAACTACCCGTGTCCTGATTATTCGGTCTTCCACCTCTCGGATAGCACGAAACAATTACACTAGGGCGAAAACCACGTGCTGGTCTTCACGACACCACGTCAGCCCTAGAAATTACCAGCATTGGGCCTGGCGAACCAGTCCGACGCATAGTAATCGTTGGCCCTGCGCTGAGGGCACACTATAAATACCCTCTTTCACTAGAGGGTCAAATAATCTCATTCTTACTTCTCTCTCTCTCTTTGTACTTGTTATCACTCTACTCGACCCTTAGTTTGGCATTAGAGTGTGTTTCAGGTACACCCCCCTCTATTACATCAGCAGTCGGACAACTCAGACGCGTGGCCGGCCAGCAATCTCTTCTGATAAGGTACAAATAATGGCCCCCCTCCATTACTTTCTTTTATCAATGTTTATTAAAAGAAATTTATGTTGTTCATTATTATTAGGGATGTCAAAATTGGTCAGATCTATCGAATATACTCGTTTTATCCACACTTTTACAGAACTAACCAACATTTTACGGATTTTACAGATACAGATATTAATATGAAAATTTGTAATGTCTGTTTGCCACCCCTAATTATGATATTAATCAACCTTTATCTTCTTCATCAATTTAAGAATAAAAATCTCACATCTAATCAACCTTCATCTTCTTCATCCATATCATACTCTTTAAAATAAAAATCCAAACTAAAATATATAGGATTTAAAGAAAAACATAGGAAAAAAAATTAACCAAAAATGTATTTGACCTACATTATAATTTATATTAGTCCCTTGACAAACTTGTAAGTTACAATACTCTTGTTCTATAGACAAGCACATATTATTGTAAATGAACTAATTTAAATTTGGGGCAGTTAAAAAAATCCGCATTCACGTATTCAAGTATATTTGTATATTTGATTGTTTCATCTATTTGATCAAGATCAACCGATTTTGATTTAAAATAAAACGATACTATAATCTCTATTTCTCGTTCATCTTTATTTTTCTTGTTGGCATTGAATTTGAGATATATAGAAATGTTTAAAATAATAATGACACAATAAGGTTTTAAAATCAAACATGAACAAAATGCAAAATGATTGCTTGTACATTGAGAGTTCTTTCACTCCATTTACCAAACATTATTCTTGAACCCACAAACAAGGAAGAATATAAAAGTGGGAATACAAGAATTTACATAATCATAGAGTTCCTAATTCTAGGAGCTCTTCAATTCAATATCCTTGTTTGTTTGCCTCAAATTTCTCCACAAATACTTTCCACTAGCCATGTCAACAAAAACCCAAAATCCATTTTGAATCATCTGAAAATCCAATCAACATTTTGGTGAGTTCAAAACAAACACTCAACCAAACACAAAAGTAAACAAATAAAAAATAATAAAAAGAAAAAGGTCATATGAATAACCCATTCCACATTATGAGTTAAAAACAAAACAAAGACACAACATTTTATAGAGAGAAAAAAAAAAAAACCAATTTTAATATCATCTAAAAGTAAAAACCCAATTAACATATTCTTATGAATTGATTACAAAAACACAACCAAACACAAAAAGAAAATCCCAAAATTTAACATTTAAACATCATCTAAAACCCAATCAAACTCTAAAATTAAAATTAACTTTTTTAAAAAAAATTAAAAAAATTAAAGATTTAGATTCTTACCTATCAAGAAAAGATTAAAAAAAACATTACTTTAAAAAGAAAAAGTAAAGGATAAAAAATAATGGGTCATTGTAGAAACATGATTTTGAAGGGTATACCTTTTTGAAACCAAATTGTTCTTTCTTGAAAGATGAATTTTCTTCTTCAATTGAATCATCAGAAGCCAAATCAATCTTTGGTGAAGAAAAAACCGTTTTCCATGCATAGTAACCAGCCAGAACAGCAGAGAAGAACACCAAGATGAACCTTAAAGGACACATTTTTCTCAAGAACACAACACAAAAAAACAATTCAAAGGTATGATTTTTATGAAATTGAGGATGAAACAAGAAAAAGTAACGACAACCCACGAATTAAAATTTGTAGGAGAATATTGGGTTGGATTTTTTTTTTACTTTTAGAGATTTTGATTTTTTTTGGGTTTTATGATGAGGAGAGGAAAGCTGTATAAGAAAAAGCAGAAACTAGAATTAGTAAACGCGCGTTTGGGTTGTTTGGGAAAAAACAATTCTCAACCACCGTGATTTGTGACTCTTTCGGGATTATTTGATTTTGATTTGAAGATTTCTGTTTAAAATGTCAAAAGGTTGCTTCACCAACTGCATGCTATTTTAGGATACTAAGTCAGCTTTTTTGGCTGGATTTGACTTTACATCAAATTATTAAGTTGTATGATTGAGAATTAACTTTTTCCTTTATATAGATATGTTTAAATATATTTTTTACATTTTAATATTTTTTATTTTTTATTTAGAAAATGGGGGAAATTAGGATAGGATATACTATTTTATTTTCATTATTTAGTTGCTATTATAAATGTTTGACATTGATTTTATATTTTAAAAATACTCTCCAATATGGCTCTAGGGCTTTATCAATCACCAAAACATTTAATGATAAATATTTATATATCCAATGTGTTAGAATATTTTTTAAAAAAAATTAGATAAAATGTCTTTTTCCAAAAGATTCCTTTTGGATTTTAAATAATTTAACAGCACACCACATACTAAATGTTTATTAATGAAAAGCTGCGAATTTTTTAATCTACACCTCAATATATCAAAACATTTATACAACTCTTTATCATCTAAATTTTATCTAACAAATTTTAATATAGAATGAACCAAACATGTCCAAATTTTCAATTAATAAAAAAATTAAATTAACTTAATTAATGATTATGTAAAAATATTAAATTGTGGATTTAAATCGGCAACACTTCACCTATTTATTTTTAAAAAGTGAAATTTAAATTAATAAACTAAAAATATGGACGAAACCACCCCACTTGTGTGAAATAATCTTCTAGACTTTACATTTGCATTTTTCATCTCTTTTCTCTTTCTAAACTTTACCTTTGTTTTCTCTTCAACCGATATCACCTTCGTCTCTAAAATCATTCATCCTCGTCTTCCAAAAAAATAAGTAAAATATATTTATCTCCGTCATGTATTAATTTTATTTTCTTCACCGTATTCATTCTTCATTTGCAAATGCAAACATTTTTTCTAAATTTAAATCTTTTTAGAGTTATTTCTTATTACACTTATGTTGTCTCTTCGGTCCATCCTAAATAATAAGACTTCTTAAGATGATTAACGACATTAATGATTATATTCAATTGTGGAAGATTGCAGCAAAATACACCACATATGGATAGTGGTTTCTAATACAAAGGAACAATTTGAAATTATTTTTATTGATAGTCAGGTAACACATCATCTATGTACTTGAATATTTGTTGATGCTTTTGTTATAATGTTAATACATCTTTTCAAAATGAAACCTATTGTTTGTAGGTTTATAAAATATTCCTTTAAAATGTATTTTGTGATTTAATTTTTCCTTTTTCTTTTTTGTTTGCCTATTGTTTTTGGATTTATAAAATATTCCTTTGAAATGGATTTTGTGATTTAGTTTTTTTTTCTTTGGTTGCCTATTTAAAATGAAGTCTATTATTTAGCTTTTTTATTGTCATTTTGTTAGTTTAATGTTTTTAGTCATATTGTTCTTGTATTATTTTAGTGTTTTTAACTTTTTAGACATTTTTTTCTTCTATATGATTTCCTGATTTTAAACATTTTGTTCTTCAATATCATTTTTTGTTTTTATTCATTTCGTTCTTCAACATGATTTTGTGTTAATAATATCTTTCGTGCAGATTTATTCATTTACCCCTTTCTAAATCACATATTTTCCTTCGACTTTCAGGGAACTGATATTCATGTGACTGTTCCTACTATGTTTAAGAAATCATTTGAATCAATGTTAACAGTTAACAATACATACATCATTACTAACTTTCAAGTTCAGCACAATGGTATCCTATTCAAAACCTTTGAACATAAGTTTTTTTTTTAATTTACTGGTGGAACAACTATTGGAGGTGTCAACACGCATGTAATTCCTCCAAAGCCTATAAAGTTCACTCCTTTTGAATACATTTTGTTTGAAAAATGGAAGAAAGATATGTTAATAGATTTGATTTTTAATATTCATATTCTTCTTTATAGTTTCTTACATAATACTTTACTCTCCTTATAATATTGATCATTGTTTGCACTCTTTATTTAAATGTAATTGATGTGATTGATAAGATCAAATACACGCAATTAATATTGGGAGTAATAAGTAACATGTCAACTTGGTGTTGAAGGATTTATTGATAGGGAGTAATAAGTATTATTTTTATATTATATATCTATTATTGTCTCTGTCTAACCTACTTAAGATAACTATTGATATGTAGGTAAATGTCCACTATTAGTTTCTAACACATTCAATGTCACCATCTTACACATCAATGAACCAATGCCAGAGATATTTGATTTTCGGGATAGGTATGAAATGGTTACATACAAATATTTTAATATGAGGCTTCATTTTATTCAATTGTGATCTAAAACATTGTGAATTTTGTCTTATTTTAAAATACGAAAGGACTCGTGGGTGGATACCATAAGTAAAGGTTATAGTACACTTTCTCATATAACTTCTCAAAATTCGGTCCCTTCTCAACTTAGCCCGTACAATAAATTCAAATACAAGGCGTTAGAACTTCCTCTGCATGAAAATATACCGCTTCAATATGTAATAACAGTTGACTCAAAATTTTGTTTTTTTTATGTTTTATGTTACTAGTGTGGATTTATTGATCACTTTTTCTTCTTTTATCTCATAATGTCCAAATAACTTTTTGTGTTGTGATAGCAACGACTGATAATCTGAAAGCATCCCAGTATGGTTGGTACTATTAGGCCTTCCACCAGCGCCCAAAGGTTACAAATGGGGCATATTGCACCTTTAATATGCGCAGATGGACATACTACAGAAATAAAAATATTCATGTATAAAACTTATTAATTCCTATTCTTCATTATCATAGGTGTAGCTCATACTGTATTGTGCTTTAAGCTGACTATTACCTATTTTTCTAGGTATAAGATTGAAATTGACGTTAAGCAGGCTGGTTATTGTTCAACTTTTGTTCTTTGGGACCACGAGAGTACACAACTCTTGGGAGTATCGACCGCACGACTTCGGGAAGCAATGTTAAAGGTGATTTTATTTTAATCACTTTTGTACATAACTTATTCCAAATCCTAACGTATATATGTCGCTAACATTTTGTAACTTTTATTATAATAAGCTGGGAATAGTGATCCCCTTGAATACCGTTGTAGGTGGACTCTTTATTGGTTTTCATAATGGCCTTCAAAATAAAGTGACAACCAAGGTGGAACAGTTCCTCTCTTGTACCGTTTTCAGAGATGAGTCAATAATCCAAATGCTTCTTGATAAATGGAGGATAATAAAGGTCCTAATTTAACTTAATTATTTTCTTTTCAGTTCATTATCATTTATCTTGATCTAACTATATTCATTTATAATCCAATAGCATATTCTTATCCCTACTCTTTCCATCACACATAACGTATTGCAGGTTTGCACACCACTACTAGAAATACTCTGTTTTTCTGCGGATTTAGACAAAATTTCCGCAGAAAACGTATTACCTGCGATTCTTCCTACTATTTTCTGTTCCCAACTAAAACCTTCGTGGATAATTAGTATAGCAGGAAAATGTCATAGGAAAAAGTCGTAGGAAAAAGTCGCAGGTAAAATAGATAAATTCACAGATAACAACGCAGGTAAATGAAATTTTTGCAGGAAATGTCGCAGCAAACTAAAGATCCGCAGGTAAAATCGCAGGTAATTTCTCTCATGTTTTTAATTTTTGTTGTTAATTTTGTTTAATTTATATTTAAAATATAATAATATAAAATACTCACTTCTTTTTTGTAATTTCATAAGAGTACTTTAAACAACAAATGGTTAAAAAACAAACAAAATATAAATCTAGTGTAAGGCTTGAACCTAACCTTTATTCAAAGAGCAATGACAATTTTTAATTTAACAAGTTCACCTAATCTCAAAGAACCTTCTTTATTATCCTTAACAAGAGTTACTATAAAATCAAGAGTTACTATAAAATCAAGCCACATACATGCTCACGCCAGAAGGAGCAATATATATTTTAACCGAAGATTTACATTTTCTACATGGCAGAATAGAGGGAATCAAACTGAATATGTTTTATGATTGCTTGAGATTGAAGGGAGGATTTGAAGTGGGTAATAGCATAATATGGGGCAGGAACTTCATCCTCCTCCTGCTCCTTGGACACTTATGGCACAGTTTAGGTAATAGAATAACAGCCCAGACTATATATTCTACAAAGCTAGCTTTACATGGAATAACTCAAAGATGTCTTTTTTCTTGATCCACCTTCTCCATAGAGGTCATTCCATTGGAGTAGTTTGTTAATATTTGAAGAATCCGATGACACGCTTGCACAAACCTGTGTACATACATGGAAACATTACACATTATTCCTTACATGTTACAAAAAGGACTTAAACAATAAAACAACAAGAGGTTTATGACTCACTCTTCACTTTCTTATTCTAAGCCACTATCTATATGTAACATCAATTTAATTTACCACACAAGATAATGAATCATATTACATTATTAATATAACATAACAGTAATACATATAAAGCATAAAACAAAAAATAGCTTCAATTTCATTAGTATTCACATTCTTCTTATTTCACCTCCACGAGCAGCTATCACAAAATATAATAATAATAATAATAATAATAATAATAATAATAATAATAATAATAATAATAATAATAATAATAATAATAATAATAATAATAATAATAATAATAATAATAATAGACTATCA